CTCGGCCTGCATATCGAGTTGCACGCGGACCGAAAAGCATTGTACTCGGCGCATAATGAGCCCCTACGCGTCGCGCGATCTTTTGTGCGGGCCTTTCTTCTTCGGCTTCGAACGCGACTCGCTCTCCGCGCTCAGTTCCTCCGACGGGTCGTTTGTAATTCGACGCCGACGAGGACAGCCGGAGTGTCACACTCGCGAAGGCGCGAAGGAATCGAAATCAACGTTGCCGCGGTCGGTGAAGAGCAGGACGGCGTCGATCGAGCGCGGCGGTGGGCCCCCGGCGCTGCGGGCTGCATTCGCTTTTCGGGCCAAGAACGAGAAGAGCCCAGGTTCCATTCGTCGTCATCGAGAGCGCGCTCCGCGCATTTCCAATACAGCTGGACGCTCCTTAATTATCGCGCCGCTGGCTCGCTTCGCGGAATTCAATTATCACCTGTTAAACTTCAAGCTTGTGGCGCGCGCGATCTTCAGCTCGCGCGGCGTGCGAGAGTCCTGCTCCTGTCTCGCGTCGAGGAGAAAGAAGCGGCTGACCTCGACTGGGCGAACTTCCTCCCACGAGGGCGGTCGTGGCGAAAGAAAGGAATGCCCGAGAGCGACCTTGAGCTGGTTCGATAAAACTGAGCCCCCCCCCCCCGCTCACCCCCCAACCAAAAAAAAAGATAGCAATCGCTAATCGGAAGCCTCGCTTCTTCGCAATGATGCACCGTAGGCCGCGCGCGCAAAACGGCGAACAGGGGATTTGACGCGTGCAAATGTGCAGCAGCCTCTCTCTCTCTCTCTCTCTCTCTGACTCATCTTCTCGATCGGCCATTCCTCACCCCACCCCGCATAGAAAGCTGCCAGAGCATTCTGGTTTTACTGGTTATCTCGCTTGCAGCGGCAGTTTTCGATGCCTCGGGAATCGATGAGTTTGTTGACATGACGCGACGACAGTGCTGATTATTAAAACCGACCGAGAGGTTTTTGTACGCGCACACGGCTACCAGTCGGTCGTTAGCTGTACGCGCGTGTATCTTCCTCGATAGTAAAGTGCGACATCTCACTCTACAGCAAATCACGTATAATACGCGTGCTGCGGACTTTGATCGAACGATGCTTCCGACGAGGATTATTGTGTTTATTTGTTGCAAAGCCTAGCTGCGGGAAGTTGCTTGTTTTATGCTAATGTCTCGATTTTTAATTCGGCAAGCTTATTCCGGCCGGTCGCTAATGATATTCAAACGGTTATTATAACTGCATTCCGAATCTGCATGTCGACGTTTTTCTTTCTCCTCTCGCACGACGTACTTCATATTATTTATACTTTATTTGTTCACGAGCTTCTACGGAGTGCAATCCGAGCAACGTTTATTTTTTCCTCATTTCCACGGTGACTTTTCTCTCGGTTGCGTGACTGCCTCCAATTAACCGATCAAATTATTCGCAATTTAAAATCGTGCAGGTAACAATGTATATTGATTTTATTATGCGCATCAAAATACATTCCTTATCGGCGTAAATTCTTCCATAAAACGCGATATATTTACAGCTCTTTAAACACGCGCGTTTGATAAATTTCTCTTCGAAAAACGAGCTGATATCAAAAGGTCGGCACACCGTTACGATATTCAAATTAAGAGATATACGAATGCTAAATTTAATACGAAATACGCGCGTGAAAATGTTTTACGATTGTCCGATTGCGACTTTACGATTAAGAGAGAGCGCCACACATCTCATTAGGTCGTTGACTTATCATCGTCGTTCTTATTTCTGGCTGGAATTCGTGGTGAAAAAGAACATTTCGATCGAAGAAAATACTACTGCTCTTTCTTCATTTTAATTGACGTCTCGATGGACAACTAACTTTTCCTTCTTCATCTCCTTTTTCACAAATATTCTTTTTCTCCGAGGAGAAATCGATAGCAGAGGGACGCTCGTAAATGTCTCTATCCGTATGACGTATATCGTCGCTACCTTACTTTGGTGAAATTTTGATCGCGCGAAAGAAATTCGGTAATTCATAACACCATGTACGCGCACTTTGTTTCGAAGTATACAAATTTGAAGAATTTGGTAATGGTATTTAATCGAGAAAATTCAAAGTGGTATCTCGCCGACAGACGTAATTTCAGGCGTACTCCGTGCAAGAGGCGCCGGGAGCAGGGGAGGTGAGAACGTACCCACAACAATTCCGAATATGCGAGCAGCGGTAGCATCTTAACGTGGCAGCGAAAAGTTAAAGATCGTCTCTGATTGCGTGCAAAGCGCGCGTGACATTTTCTCGAGGGCCGAGATAAAGTGCCTCGGCGATGTATGCCGGCTTCCAGCATTGGAAAGCTGCGGATCTTTTTCGAAGGTCGTCGCGTTCGCGAGTCGTAAATCACTTTATGATCGCATGAGAAAAACTGCAATTACAGCGTCTTTCGTTTCTCTCTCGATTTAAACAACCGCCTCTTTTTCTTTCGTTTGCCCGTTCGTCTCTCAGCCCGATTTTATTTGCGCGGACTTTTGTTCGGTGTACGCTTAAGCGTTGCGCTCGGCAAGTCGAGTGAAAGGTCCGGAAACCATCGGGCGACGCAAATGAAATTGAATGCGCGCGCGCGTGATTTCGTGATTTGCCCATTTGCCGAAATAACGTCGCGCTCATTCGAGCAACTGCCAACGGAATAAAAATATTTATGTCCACGTGGCGAACGGGCACTTATAGAATATGGGCGGCCGACAGCTGCGCATTGGAAAAAGAAGAAACTCTCTAATCCCGTCAACGCGCGCATCCCCGCATAAAACGTCGCGCCGCGAAAGAAGAAAATCCGTAACGACGGCGACGAGCAGGATCGCCAGCGAAGGAATGCCGCGTCGGCTTTTAATGAAGACAGATTCGTCGCGGCGAATCGGACGGGGATCGAATGCATTGCTCGAAGGCTTCAAAGATTTATGCATTCGCCGCTGCGTTGGTCGACGCGGAAGGGCTGCACGCGCGTTTGATTTCTCTCGGGTCTCCGGTGGCACGAGCTCGCCGAAACGCGCCCGGCAGAGATGGCCAATCGCGTTGGACGGCGCGCGAAAACCTTTCGGAAGTCGTCGAGCGCGGGTGACGAGGCGACGGCTTTCGATTTCGGCCGATCGAAAACCCGTCGTCGGGTTTCGCTTCCCCGACGATTCTCCGCGCGCCGTCTCGGTAGCGTCTCTGATGATTCTGCGCGTCCGCTCTCCTTTTTTCCTTTCTCTCCCTTGCCAGCTATCAATTCCGCAAAAGGGCAATGCTATAATCGCGCCGGAAACAATTACTTTTTATTATTCTTGCCGCAATTTGCATCGCGCGCGCGCCTTCCCTCGGCGGAGCTGCCGCGCGAAACCGATGAATTAGCCTCTTACGCCCGAGTCTTCGATGCGCGCTCTTTATCCCAAGCGGCTTTTCGCCGTATTCGCGTGCGTGCGCCCGATCGACTTCCACGCTAATTAATCAAGGCGTGCTCGGCCACGAGAGCGGGAAACAAGAGCAAATACGAGACGCGCTCTCCATATCGGCCTCGCTGAGATAAATGAGCTTGCAGCCGGGCCGCGATCGCCGATCGATTCCCGCGAGACGCCGCAAGATTAATTTTTGTCGCCGTGCCGGCCGTTCCTCGGCCCTCGCGCGAGAGCCAAGTCGCGAGGCAGGTGGCGATCGATCATAGCGCTCGCCGTTAGATACGCATCGAGTTTGCCGCGTCGCGCGCTCGACAGCTAGAAAGTTTTGCGCTTCGAATGAAATTGATTGCGCCGGCTCGCGGACCCGATGGCGAACGGTCCGGCCCCGCGGCTTCGAGCCTCGATTTTCGAGACGCGACCACGAAACTAATCGGCGCAGAGAAGAGCGTACGTCAAGGGCAAAGTAGAGCCACCGCCATTAATTGGATTAATTACCTCTGAGCCGCCGCGCGCGCAGCGTGTGACGCTCGAGGCTTCCCAGCGACGGATGAATGGGCAGAACGGAGAGGATGAATGGGGCTACTTGAAGTTTCTCCTTTTGTCTTTCTTTCATTCCCTCCGAGAGGCATGTGTCTTTCAATCTGGCGGCAAGCTTTTGCACATCTTATACACGTGCTTCCGCTCCTCGCACGCTCCTCCTCCTCCTCCTCCTCCTCCTCCTCCTTCTCTTCGCCAAGTGTGAGAAGGGCTATTTATGTGTCAAGTGCATTTATACGCGTCGGCGGTGCGCTCGAAAGCTGCGCGGGCTTCCTTTCCCCAAGCTACTCGTGATTTTCGCGAAGTCGGAAATTGACGTTTTCGAAAGCCCCGCAAGCTCGATTCCCTGTGTCGCTCGCGTGATTCGAGGCAGGCACGTCAGCGGCGAGGTGACTCGAACCGCGCGAGCGCCTCCGTATTCCAACGAACAACTTGCCCGACGAAACGTCCGCGCGCTGACCCATTTGTCTGGCGGCTCGTCGCGAGCGCGGCGTTCGAGCTGATACGCGGGCCAGGAGCGAGCGTGCGGCACAAAGGGGCGGGGGGGGGGGGGGGGTGCGAAGTGCCGGCTCGGCTTTCAATTTTCTCGCCTTCTCTTTTCGTCCGTGCGCCGCGGCAGCCGCGAGATGTCTTCGCGCGCGCCAATCGAACGTGCTCCGTTCGCCCTGCAAAATGCACCGATAGCTCAACGGCAAAAATGGCTGGATATATATAGAGCTCCTTCTTTTCATCGACGCGCGCCCTATTCAGTCGAGCTTTGTTACGAGATTTTTAATGAGAGCGTCTTCTTGTCTTCCATTCCGCTCAATAACCGAGGCTCTAACGTATAGCTTGTGTATTCTATTGTGCGCATGGAGACAAAAAGAGGTTAGTCAGAGAATAGATAGGTCAAGTGGTGTATCGCGTAGATATTTTTCAAGCGCGACATTGGACGATTCACGGCTGATCGTTGGATTTCTCATTCGCGCGGATAAATTTATAACGCGCAGCCTTGTTTTCGAGACACCGTCACCTAATATCGCGGATAAAAGAGATAAAAATTTAACGAGCGCTTGTATTTCTGTTTGCAGCGATCTGCGGCGGACGCTGCTGCGATCGTGACATGGAAGAGCAGCTACGCCAGCAGGCCAAGGATGACTTCCACAGTCAGATTCATCATCACAGTCGCAGCTTGCTTGGTCTCTTGGCAACAACCTCCGACGCGCTCAGAGGTAAGTCTTCGGCTTCGATCTGACGTCGAACAAATCAGCCGGCCAATAGTGCGTATCGCTTCTATTTTTCACCGAAGGAGCACAATGGGCTCGGAGATTAAATTGTCCTCGAGCGAAACGAGGCAAATAAAGCGCCGGAGAGCGAGAATTTCTGTCTGTCTCTCTCTCTCTCTCTTTCTCTCTGTCGCCCTCGGCGAGGCTTCATTTTTCCCGAGCTTACGCGCGCCAAAGCAGATTTAATTAAAGACGAGACGAGGCTGCTGCGAGCCGCCGTCATAAGCTTTCGCTCGCGAACGGCATGTTTTTTTTCCTTCGTTCCCTCTCTTTGATCAAATATCGAGTGGAGAAGTGTATTTCAAACGCTGGCTTACTTATACCGAAGGCTGAGAATGATCGCGAAAAGAGGAGAGGAAAGAAGCGTGTATTTGCCTGCTTTACACGTCGTAGAATCCATTTTCGAGTCTCATGTCCTAATTGACTGAAAAACCAGGCGACAAGCCATAACCGTCGTCGTCATCATTCACTTCCTGGGGGGGAAAAAAATTGAAGCCTTCCGAGGGACATCGAATTAAAACGCTTGGCTATTTCTCTATTTCTTCGTGTCCCATCCCCCCACATGCTCACGGCGACAATTCGCCGGGGAGAACGCGACACGTGTTCTTCTTCCTTTACTCCGGGGAGAAATTGTCGTCGTCGTTGTCGTTGCATTGTGCCGCGTGCGAGGAGCTGTATTATCGATATCCTTTTTTTTTTCTCCGTTCCTTTTGGTTTGTCAGGTGTTGTCGACGTGCTCTGCGACTTTTTTTTTTGTTTATTTGAAAGGGAATGAGAGTTCAATTGAATATTCGTTCTCTATTTTGTTTCTTTTGGTTTTGGTGGCAAAAATTCGCTTCGAGATCCCGTTGTTAATAACAAAAGTGCATTTGGCAACGCGAGGAATAAAAAAGAGAGAGCAGGATCGGAATTTCGTCGAACGCACCCTTTCTCTCCTTTTCAAGTGCGAGTATACGTATGCGTATCCTTATCTTTAAACTCCTTTTTATTTTCTGCGAGAGAGCCCACGCTTCGTCGCATATTTACCCACGCGCGGGTCTGAGATACGACGTTTCCCATGTAAATCGATTTTTCCTTCTTTTCCGCGTTTCGTCAAATCGAATCGTAGTTAATATTATTCCGCGCACAAGCGAATATTCCATTTGAAAATTCACCGGTGTTTCGTCTCTTCTCTTTTCCCCTATTTTTAAAAATCCAACATCGGCAATTCAAACGCAAACTTAGTCTCTGTTTATCTGAGAAATATCGACACAAATATCCCCGGGAAATTGAGCAGACGGCGAAAAATTGAGGTTGGCGCGGCGTAAAAGGCCTCGAGGCCAAAAAAAAACACGCGTTGGCAAGATCGAGGCCGAGCGGCGCGGCCAGCAAAGAGCAAGCGAGAACGGGCCTTTATAAGTGTCATCGCCCGGGCAAATTGCAGCTCGCGCGCGTGGGCGCAAGCTGCTTTTCCAGTCTACAGACTATACGCTGCCACCGGTGGCACGCGCTGACTAACTGCCCTTCCCCGACAGTTCTCTAACACCTCTCTTATCTCTCTGCCATGCGTATCGTCGTTCTCTCGCTTCTCCGTCATCGACACCGAGCAATAACGCGTTTGCGTCGGTTGGAAGCGACCCCGACATAATTTACCTTTCAATGTCTATTGTTATCGTCAGTTCGCGCCACACTTGTTGAATAATTTTGAGAGAGCCAATTTCATCCGTCGGCAAATGCTGTCGCGTAGCAATGAGGATGCTAAATAAACATTTCCCGCTGGATTCGATCGAATCGCTCGTAATTTGCCGCGCGAGAGTGACATCAATATCGAAAACGCGCTGTAAATAACGCTGAGAAACTGATCCTCCCCAATCCATGTACATCCCTGAACGCGTATGCGCGTCGGCCGGCGACAATAATTAAAAATAAATTCATCGGCATTAATTGGTAGTCCGCGCCAGTCGCACTGACAAAGGCAATTAAAACGCGCCGCGCGTAAAATGACATCACACCCGCGATGTGCACACTCTCGTCCTCCGAAAATCTGTGCATCTCTCGGGGCACGCGCAATGTTTTCAATTAAACAAAAGAGAAAATAGAAAAAAATACGCGAACGCACTTAGCATGCGAATCGCGCTCGATCGATAAAACTCGCGCCAAAAAATACAAAAGGACACTTCGTTCTCTTTCATCTGACGGGATCACGGACATTCCCGTCGCTTCGTCTCGAAGTCTCGAAAGCCGATCGGGCAATCTCGCGGGGAATGAGCTTCTTGGCGAACTTGCAAGCGAATGCCTGCACTGCGCTTTTTCCTCGGGAAGCCCGCGACTGGAAGCGGAACGTTTCCGGCCGATCCGGCAAATTGTCGAAGCACGAGTGCGTTAATGACTCTGGAAATGGCCATTTCGGGCATAACAACGCGAGACTACGCTCCCCTTGCCGATCAAATCAACATTCAGAAAAGCATCTCGCGGAGCGTCAAGTTTGATGCCGTGCCGTTGGTCGTAGCCATCACCAGACGCACGCACAAAGCTATACGGATATGCGCATCCCTTTCTGCTGGGTGAGCGGCGAAAGAAAAACGCGACGATTTCCACCGACGAGGGATTTTACTGTCAAATCGATTTCCATTGGCGTACTCGCTGGCGAGAGGGGGGGGGGGGGCACGGAAATAAAAGAAGCCACTTTTGCCTTGTGGATTTTTCGTCTTTCTGTTTATCTTTTATCTCCTTGATCGTCGTCGCAAAGCGGACAGTTATCGACATACGTGCACGCGGCCCGCGTGATTCGAAAGCGCGTAGCTTGGCCCCGCGCCATTGCGGGGGCAATCGTGGCCGCACATTTTCTCGCGCAGCGAAGAAGTCGCCGATAAAACGTGTCGCGCGCGTCAACGGGACGCACTCGTAAGCTGCTCGGCGTCGCGAGGCGTTTACCATTTGAAGCGCGTCCCCTTTCGCTCGACGACACAAGTACGAAACGACTCTATCGAGAGCGTCGCCGCGTGCATGCGTGTGCGCGCGCGCCTTGCCACGTTATATGGAGATTAGGAAATCCGGCGCGCCACGGCGGACGCTGGCAGACGCTATTCTTCTTGCTGAATTATTCAGCGGTTATTAAACTCATCGGTCCGGCCTGTGTGCCTGCGTGTGTGCACTGTGCTACGCGGACTGTGCGCGATTGAGCTTCTGGGATTTGCCGCTCGAATAAGTTGAATAGTTATTACGAGGTGTGCGCTGCAGTGCCACGATTTCTCATTCGCTGCGCTCGAAAATTTAGCAAACTATTTCTTACCGTTGTTCCATATCTTGCGTTTCAAAAAGACCACTCGTTGATCGTCAAATTGCGATCGACTTGTACCAATTTTCGTGTGTCATCGCCATAGACCATATATGATCTCAACAGGATGTGTGTGCCCGTGTGCGTGTGTCTATTGGACCGTGTCTTTGTTAAAAGTTTCAGCATTGAATGTGTGAGTGTGTATGAGCAAGAGAGAGAGAGAGAGAGATCCTCCTAACGCTTTTATCCAATTGGGAATTAAGTGCTAAGCTACAAGCGAGCGAGCGAGAGAGAGAGAGAGAGAGAGAGAGAGAGAGAGAGAGAGAGAGGGAGAGAGAGAGACAAGACTAAATGAATGCTTTTAGCCTTAGCCGAACAAACAAGTTTAGCAATCATTGTCAAGAAATTACTCCAATCGCCGATCTTTAAATTACCCTGACTATACTTGCTGATGCTTCCATTCGTTAAAACTTACGCTCCGTTGTCGTCGTCATTGTGTCGACTGCCGTAATTACTCGCACTCGAACGCGGGAAAGGATCAACCGTTGTGTATTTTTCTATTGTGTGTCGATCGATTAATTTTTTTTTTTTTCAGCTCTTCAAAAAACGTGTTTTTGTTCGGTTTGAAAGTAGTATTATTAGTTTCGATAATAGAAGTCGCAAGCTCGTGCTTTTCCATCCTTTTCAATCCGTCCTTCGATTTCTTTCATTCGGTTCTATCTCAATTCTCCAGCGAACGTCCTTCTTGTTATTTGAAGTTTTTATTCGCACCAAATTTCGTCAGCGTGTGTACGTCAGAATGAATAATTCATAATAATTTTATTAAGAGTTCGGTTTGCTTTTCCTTCCGCGATAACTGGTCACTCAGACGGTAGAGAATTAGCGTAAAATATTTTTCTCGGGGTTGCTAAACGTGTTACAGTGAATTATATCACACGCGCCGGTTTTAGGTAAATTGCTCAGGCGTGAAGCCGCCACACGCGCGGAACGAAACGGTTTCGAGTGATGTGTGTATTTTGTGCGTGTTCGGAGTTTTTTTTATTATTTTAACAGCCGTAAGGACGTTTACGGGATCGGTCGTCTTCTCGTGTTATATATACATGAGAAGTGATTAATCGCTTAAAAATGTGAATGATATACCGTAGATAATACTTTTGACGTTATTTTACCAGCGGTAATTAGTTATAGATATTTCGTAAATAATCTATTTATAATGGTCAGCAGTAGAATGATTATAAATGAATATAGCTACTACAGATCAACTTCATCCATTTCGAACATATTTATCGCTTTGAAGTTCCGGGACTAACTTTCTGTGTATAACGTCAAATAAACGTTATTTTGGACTGATGAAGTACTTGTCGGACTATGTATTTACTCACATTTATAATTGCAAAACAAATCGCCTGTTAATATTCAGACCACGAGAAAAATGAAACTGTAATTGAATTTGAAACTATTTACGTTGCTCCAATGATTGATATCGTGCTGTCCGATGAATTATTAGAATCGAACGCTCCGCGTGACTCAGCTGCGTATATCACATGTGCACGCATTCAAAATTATACACTGTCTCATTGATTTACGTGATTGCTCACTAAATAATAACGGGAACTTGGCGACTGCTCGCGAAAATCTGAGGCGAGGCGAAACTTCCGTCAACTCGAACATACTGCTGGCTTGGCGATTG